GGAGTGAAGTGACAAGCCCAACAGAAGTCTACAGCAAGCACATAAAAATGTTATGAAGGAAATATCACTGGTAATGCTTCCCACTTAATTGAATCACTATGTTGCAATGAAAGTATGTATGAATGACACCAAACTGTTGGTAAAAAAGAAAAGGCCAGACAGGCTTGACATTAGCAAACCAGTGGCATAAATACTCTTTCCACCAAATGAAGCAAAATAAAGATCAAAGCCTAGTGTGTGGTGAAGAACAGCTGAGCTCTTGAATGAGTTCCTACTGTTTGGTCAGATCTTGCCTCGGACAGCTGCAGAAGGCAGCTTTACAGCTACCTCATGGCAGTTTTAAGTGAGTTATACTTAAAAAAAAGAAATTTTGTCATTGAAGGAGATAGTTACACATTTGCTCAATACATATACAGGATATAGTTTGAAATTCACAGGAATCTTTATCCCGGCTAGGCTGAATTTGACCCTAACATAGGGCTGAGCAACTACTACAGCAGGACCCAATTGGTTTTTTTGTCCCACTGACTTTAAACACAGAGGCTCAGCCTCGTACCCTGTACTGCTTATGTACATTTGCAAGGGGGGAGGTTTACAAGTAGTTGAGCTCCTCCTTTTCCTTTCCTTGGCTTTTGTCTCTCACATTGTACTGCTTTGGGTCCTTGTCAGATTCCTCTCCATGTGGCAAATCACCCAGCAATAAAATAACCAGAGGAAGTAAGGCTTTCTGCTGGGGTAAAGAGCTAGGTCAGCTCAGCAAAATTCCAGCAGGAAGGCCTGCAGAGGAAGAAGTAGTGAGACTGCAAGGAAGGTTTAATTTCTCTTTCCTCCCTTTCTCACTTCAATAGCAGTGAGCTGTTAGATCAGCTTAATTCCCTGTCAAACCACAGCCCAGAGGTCAGGCTCACCAGGCAGTACCTTTCCATGCTCCGCACCAGCTGTCTGCAGGATCACTGCATAATGCATAACTTATTATGAATAACTGTAGAAATTTTAATGCGCCTAGCAGAAGAAACAGGGCAAACAAAATTAAACAGAGAAAAAAAGGAACAAAAACCCCTCACTGCAGCCAACTTTTTGAAAGACATCTAAAATTCTCTTCTCTGTGAACCTGAGGGTGTCAATTGTCATTGACCACACCTCTGTGTGACAATATCACCAACAATGGTGATATTTTAACTATAGAGACAAAAGTATGGAGTTTATTCTTCTGGGAAAAAAGGAGTAATCTAACAGACTCACCAAATCTAACCTAACACACTAATGAAAACATAGACATCACACAAAATATTTCTCCTTTTGCAAAGGGGGGTTGGGAAGGCAATTACAGTGTATTGAAATGGACTTAATTAGTGTACCTCATTAGAGCCATAAATGAAAATGTTGAAATCAAAGTATTTTATGCTTTAAAAAAACAGAACACTTAACAATGATAGTACAAATTACTTTAAAATAACTCATGCTTAAAATTAGTTGGATGCTCAAATTGAATTGTTTATGGTGCGTTCTGTTTATTACTAAATAAAGCTAGAAAGATCTTAAACTAGAAATTCATCATAGCATGATTTTCAGATGCGAGATCTTTATGTCTCAATTTAAAAAATTCTTAATAGACTACATGACATGTTTTCACTTTACAAAAGAACTAAGAAGATAAATGTTACTGTTTCAATTGAGATTAAAACATTAATTTTAACAAAATGCCAACTTCACCTCCCTTGCTACATCTCTCCTTTTGGAAAATTTCCAAATTTTTTTTTTTTTTTAAATCTATTGATTTAAAGATGTTGTCAGCTATTCTAAGGTTTAAATCATTCTAAATCTATTTTTATACCAAAACCTAATTTCTTATCTAGATCTATATCTTGTTTTCCTTAAGGAAAAAGCAGTAAGAAATAAATTTGTATCACTGGAAGAATGATAGCCATTAGCATTTTCTTTCAGAATTCTGATGCATTATTCATTAAAAATCAATACAAATTCTGTCATTGATTTCAAATGAGTTATTACTGGAGTCTCTGTTCATCTGTAAGACCTTAATATAGAATCATTGAAACAGAGCACTACTTTGCTTAGCACAGGACTAAACATCTCCTGAAAAAGTAAAAAAATAAACCAACTGACAAAAATACAATAAAACTCCTTCAGTTCAATAAAAAGCTCCCAGATACGCTCTAGCTTATGATACATAGCATTTATTGTTGTTTCATATGCAATGTTTTAATGAAAAGACAGTATTACTTAATTGAGCTCTAATTTACTGATAGTTGTTACAAGTAACCTCTAGGGGAAAAAAAGATACGTAGATAATTACTCACAACACAACTCACTGAAACATGAAAGTTCAGAGCAATGTAAGCTGAAAAGTATGTAAGAAGAAGCATCAGGAAATCAGAAAGCCAGGCACTGGTTTGCAACCAGTCCAAATGAGAAGTTTCACATCCAACTTTCTGGGTTGGGAAATTTACTGTTTTTAGTAAATATTGGTTTATATGCTGATTTTACTTCTCACAAATAATGCCCATGCTTCTTTGTTCATTCTAGTTAAATATGCCTGAGATGACATTTAAAACCTGTCAGACTGCTACAAAAGTGTTATTTATCCATATTGTGCTAGGTTTCAAGCACTGAGATTTAAACTACCATAAAATATGCATAAATATAGGGTCCAATTCTTTTTATATATATTCTTTGTCAGCAAAGGGCTTCAGTGAACGACAAGACTCAAATGGGCTTTATTTAGATTTCTAAATCTTTCCTTTGCAAGAGAATTGAGACAATATAGTGGAAGCAGTTTGAATATAATTCTTGCTATTCTTTGTGATCAATTCAATTTTAAAAACAGAGCAGAATTTAGATTCAACTTATTCTCCAAGATTTTTTTTAATGTATCTTCTGCTAATTAAACACGCCTACTCAACTGAATTATGTAACTCAACTTTAACATATATGAGGAGGTTTGGTAAATAGTATGGGCTAAAAAAGGCATACACCTGTGCTTTTTATTCTTTCAGAAACTCATCTTCTATTCCATGGACAAAAATAAACTTTCATTTTCAAAAATAGCCTCCAAGAGCCAACATCACAAGTGAGTGAAGCACAAGAATCTAAAGGATTTCAGCTTGTCAACTGATGAAATTTAAGTGAAAAACCCATCCCCCAGAACGGGGTTCTCAACACCACAGTCACCAGGCTTGCAGTATACCTCTCGCGGAGGCAGAATTATGGGAATGCTTCCAAAAGCTAGACTACAAGGGAAAAAATGAAATCTATACAGGGCTTTAGGGAATTTGCAGTTAATTTTAAACGTAAAACTTCTTAGAGAATGTCACATCACTCCACCCCTTGATAAGGAAGGGTCAAAGTCCAACTACTCATCTGCTCCCAAGTCTCAGTGTTCAAGAAAATGGAAGTTTGTTAGAAAAGTGAGGAGAGAACAAAGAGGGGTAGTTTGCAAAGACTGTATCTCATGTTGTAGAGAAACCTTCAAGGCACAAGGCAAAGCATGACTCAGCCAGAACCAAATGCAGCAAGATCTGCCTAATGCACTAATTTGGATGTCAAAACTATTAATATTAAAATTTTTGGTTTCAGAAATATTTCAGGGGAAGATGTATCTTCTAAGGAAGTTCTACAGGCATGTTACCAAGGGAGACACGGAAGACATTGGACAGGCCTTTAAAAGCACTGCATGGAAACAAAGGGGAAGAAAGGGATAAAATGCATGTGGTTCATTGTCAGGGAGCCAACGTTACTGCCAGCAAAGGTTAACTGTAATTAGAACTACATGTTAGAAATTAATCCAGTACATATAACCCCACCTTCATAACGCCACTTCCTTTTAATTTCTATGGTATTTAAGCACTTAATTCCTTAAGGGTTTTTTCAAAATTTCTAATACAGTGACATCAAATACAAGAAGTCCCTACACTTATATTTCCTCATACAGCTGGATGCCTAAAAAACTATGTTGTCTTCCAGTCCAGAGACAAATGTAGCCGGTCAGATGGTGAAGCTCAGTTTCACCCTTGAGGGAGGATTAATGGCTCCGATAAACTCATTCTCTAGGAAGCAAAAAAGCTGCTTCCAGACTGTCACTGAATTCGCAGTGATGGACAGTTGGATGATATAAGGTAGCACTGGCTGTTGCTGGCTACTAAATTACTTGCTGTATCAGCTGCCACACATGGGATGCCACAACACTGAAAACTGAAATGGGTGGGATGGAGAACAAGCGTAATTACTTGAGCATCAGGACTTCATCAGGCTGCAGAGCGAGTCACCACTACCACATTATATAGGAGTAGGAAATCTGTACACTTGTCACTACTAAGGAAGCAAGACATAGGAATTATTTTTTCTTACAAACAGCTATTAGAAGATTTTGGATTTAATAGTGAGCAAACCTGCAGACTAAAATGACTGTCAAAATTAAAATAGGGCTTTTTACATATGATTGCATGTCAAAGACGATTTTGTCCTTTGGAAACGACAGTATATAGATCAAAGTATAAAAGTGAAAATATCAGAGGTCCTCAAAGCAAAACAGTATTTTCTTTACTTGGCTCTTTAGTGGTATAAGATTTCCCAGTGTAAGCTTGTTCCCAGATGCAAGCAGCTGCTACACACACAATTGTCCAGGAAACACATGGTTAGAAATATACACTCCTAATTTTAGTGAAGATGAATATTTTAAGGACATCCTGAGTGAAATCAGAATACAAATGTTAAATCCAGCTTCTGTTCAGCCATATACAAAGCAGTTGCTTACTCCAGGACTGCAGAGGAAGCTTTTAAGACCATGCATATTTCAGTGTTTGCTTTGCTGATACTTTGGAACGTCCTAGTTACAGAGCTTACCTCAAATACTGGAGGGCAGGCAAGGGAATGCTAACTCTTTTATCTGTTATCCACAATTTCAATCTAGATTAAACCTAACTAGCAAGCAGAAATTTCAGACCATGAAACAAGAACACGAAATGAAGAGAGATTCAACTTACAATTAAATCTTGAATAAGTGAAATAGAAAGTATCCTCTTGACACCATTTTCCACAATCACTCCAAGCCAATTAAGGGCACCCCAGTACCACAGATAACTCTGTCCTCCGTGCCAATAGCTTACAAAAGCAAAAGTAAGGGCTGTGGAAAAGAGTGTTCCCAGCAGACTGGACTGAGATCCTCCCATTGGAACATAAATGTACCTGTAGGTGAAACAACAGATAAGCAATATTATTAGAGATTTCACAGAAATCACAGAAAAGAATCCACTATGGAACAAATTTGTCATTTTTTGGCATAAAAAAGGAATTTGAATAATTACCTGGCATTCTCTTTTACAGAGCTTGCCCTAGTTTCTGCAAAGCTGTAGACCACTTCATGAAATATGTGCATATAACATTTGGCAAAAAGACAATTTTATGGTCATGGGAACTCTGCATTAGGCAAATGTATAGCATAAGCTATATTCTTAAAATCACAAAAGACTAACGTTCAGGTTTTTTAAGCTGCAGTAGTTGGAAGTCAACTTATATGCACAGAAATTACATGTATTCTTCATGTGAATTTAAAATACAAGACTCTAAAAAATTTAAAACGTTATATAAAGTCATATACAGTCATAGCCCACAGAATGTTTTCCACTTGTCAGAAATGTAGACACACGCAAACATGTTTTATTTTTAAAAGCTTGTAATTTCTTTCTTTTAAAATCTTTCATTAAAAATTATATGAACTGAAAATATTTCCTATCTGGTTCTCCTATTATGCACTCAGTATCATGTCTGCCTAATGACCTTCAGAGCACATGTACCAAAAATATCCCCAAAACCTGGATGAAGCATCCTGCATGCAATTATATTCTGTATTTAAACTGAATCCAGGAGTCAGAACCTTAGTCTTTAATTGTCCTGAAAGCAGTACTCGTTCAGTAAAAATACCAGAAGCAATGTGATTCTGAAAGCTGACGCTCTTTTCTGGGTCACTCCACTTCCTTCCTGCCTAGAGAGCTACATCCACTCCTGGCATTTTCTAAGTTAAGCATGGCCACTGGCCAGCCTTTATCTGAAAAAGTTGCATATTTCTGTCAACACTTTAAAGAAGCTCATCAGGCAACGAGGTTCACCATCCAGCTCATGGATACCAGCAAGGAGATGCAGTGTATGAGAACTGCCGGTGACAGTTCTCACCTGTCATTCCCTTGGCATGATGCTCTGTACTCATACTTGACACTATTCCTACTTCTAAGATAATTAAAGGAAATTTTTTTCAGTGAAATTTTTATCTCTGGTTATCAGTTTTTATATTCAGAGATAAACAGTAGTTTAAAAAAATAAAAGGGAAAATAGCATAGTGCTTTATTCCTAATCTTACGAAGTAAGAGAGTGCAGTAAGAGGGTAAAATAAAGTGATGAAAGTAATTAAAAGGCAATCAGAAAAGTCATAAAAAATATAACTGTCAAGCATTCAAAATTCTCCCTAAGCATAACACCAATACAGCTTTTCATTTCAACCTGCTACAGGGAACATCTGACTACATTTATCGTGATTTTCAGTATAAGTGTGCTTTTTACTAAGCATATGAAAATAAATAGAAATTAAGATCAATAGTTTTTATTTATGTTGTGGTTTTCTTCTCTCTCCCCTTCCTATGTTTTGCTCGGGTCTAGTCTTTTCTCCTCACATATATAAAGAAACAGCATGGCAATAACAGACACTTGCAATTGCAGTCTATTAGCCTGATAGCAGGGAGGTATGTCTCAGCAGCCCATAACCAGGGGGATGCCCTGCAGGGCTCTGGCACCGAGGCTGAAGGCAGCAGAGCCACAGACCCTGCTGCTTCGGGGACTACAGAAATGAAAGACCAAAGCAGCTCATCCCCTCTTAGGACATACTTTCCCAACACCTTTCCCTCTCCCTTTTTAAAGGCTGGCTGGTTTATATTTTAGGCAGGGCCTGTGGCCATTACCGGTTCCCCTGGAAGGCTTGGCTGGAGGAGGGCTGGCAGCCCAGCTCCGCAGCTGAGAAACCCCAACCCCAAAAGCAGCACCTCGGGGCCCCTGTGAGCGTGGCAGAACCTCCTTTTGCAGAGCTTCACCCACAGGAGCCTGGAACAGGGCACTGCTGGCCCTGCCAATCTCAGCAACGCTCACCCTCTCTCGCACATTGACTGAAACACGGCACTTAAAATTAACCCTGGCACCACTGAAGAGACGCATCTCTGCAACGGAGACCTTACTCTAAGCCCTCAGGAAACCTTTGTGCTGACCTCATAGGGTCCTGGGTTAAATCCACGGCACAGAAGGTAGCTTTTCTTGCAGAAGTAGCTCTGGGTTTCCCTGCACTGAAACAGACCTGCTGTTGTGTAGGCACCAGCCATCCTGTCCGCACAGGCAGCCTCTGCTGGCACCGGCATGGCCAGGAATGGCCCGGCAGCACCAGCCTCTGCATTTGCAAATGCAGCTCCGTTTAGGTTGGTCCGAACGGCTTTCAGATTACTTCTGCAGAGAAAAATGGGCTATTTTCTGCTTTTTGGTGTTTAACATCAGCAGCTAGATAACTGAGCAGCAATAACTCTGATGAACACTCCAGGTGAGTGAAGTTTTAGCTCCTCCTAAGGCCCACGGCAATTGTGCAATGAAAACTCACTTGTGCTAACGATGTGAGGACCTGTCTGAAGAGGGTCTGCCCCCTCACCCGGAGGAGAAATGCAAAGCACAAATCAACACCTCTCTCCTCCCCTGCTGGCTGCCATATGAAAATAGAACGAAGGCGGCTGCCATATTTTGTCACAAGGCCACTAACTCCCCTCCGACAGCGTGGCCTTACCTTCCGCTGCCAGGGCATGCCCACTGGAAATTTAGAGTAGGTACAAAGGGCTGATGGACGTTGAGCCATTTTTCTTAAGCAGCATGAAGTGCAGTTCTGTACGTTCCAATGCTTTTTACACAGAAAAAATCATGACAATCCATTATTACGTTACAGAACACATCAGGGGGAAAAAAAGTAGCTTTGCTACCTCGTCACCCCCGCACATCATGTCTTGTGCTCACACCTGTACATTGGCAGGCCCCCGTACCAGCAATGGGCGACCCAGCAAGCAGCCGGGGCCAGCTCCTGGATACCTGAGAGCTGCTTTGTGCTCCCTCATGCAGCCAGAACTGTCTTGTGAAAGAGCCCTTGTCGTTACAAAAATGCATTTTGCTTATTTTTGAGCCATCGTGGTAGTTTAGAATCTAATTTCTCAATACCTTCCCTGTGTGTTTTACATTTACATTTAATTGTGAGGTAGAACAAACCAGTGACCGGTATTAAGCCAGAAGATAGAAGAAACGTGTTACTTCTGTATTATCATTTATGACATAATATCTGCTTTCAGACTGAATTTGTTGTGATTTAAAGCCCTACACAGCCCCTCATTCACATCCCCCCCGTGGCATGGGGAAGAAAAGGAGTGTCTTACAGTACGTTAGGAAAGTTTTTCTGTCCTCCCGTTCACTAAGAAAATCCACGACGAAGGAAGGAGGAAGAGAGAGAGACTAAGGGGCAATGGCTACTACAATTTGATGTCTTATATATCTGCATGCTTCCCAACTTTTTTCCTCCTTACCAGTGCTACCATCTACCTTCCATCTATCCTACATCCTACAGTGCTTCTTGTCCTGCGATTAGAAACTTGGGGTTTACACAGAGAGGTCGCTGTAAAGCACGCTGATCTGCTGCGCCATATGCGGAATAGCATTACATAAATATCTCATTTTAAGCTTCCACGCAGTTTTTAAGACTATTTCCATCTCTAATCACAGAAAATCCATGGAGAAGCTCAAAACCCCCAGTTCAGAGACTATTAGCACATGAAAGTAATCGAGGTTCCCCATGGCAGACTAACACAACTCAAAGGAACACCCTTGTAGCAGAATTTCTTAACAGCTCATAAGCAGATTACACATTTACCGTAGATGTGCAAGGAAGGCAGATTTAGCTGAAAAACACAGTGCTAATGTGCAATAACTTTATCTAAATTTACATACTCACAGAAAAAGAAAACTCAACAGTTATTTGGTGGTCAACGCACCACAGACAGATAAATGAAGAAGCAACAAAGTATTTTGCAAAGAGAAAAGGGTGTTAAGGGGGGTAGATCTGGGGATGGTAATTGGTCATGTCCCTCCAGGTTATTTTAGAGGGATGGGTAACACTGGTCCCCCTTAAGATCCATGAAAATTACCAACAGGAAGATCAGACCTGTGAAAGATGCTTAGTATCAAAACAATAAAAAAATGCAGGCTAGGTGAATATATAAAAATAAAACATCAATTTAGGGGATCAAAAGTCAATCCCTGCCAAAAGTTCAAAGGTGAAATTTGAAGGTGAAAGAACAGAGATTTCCACGCCGTCTGTCAAAGAGGAACTCGTGAATGCCACAGGCCAGGTCTTTACCAACCATTCCTATAATAACAACAAGGAAAGGCACTTCACCTTGTCTGAAGAAAAAGTTGTGCATATTAGACAGGGAGAAGAGAAGGGGGAAGAGAACTCTATGTAGATTAAATATCTCAAAACATCTGGGGAGCATTTGAGGCACATAAACAAAAGTAGATATTGAGAGAATGTTATATAGTAAAAATTACTTGAACACACACCTGAGACAACTATACATACATTCTTAGCCTTCCCCACCCAAGGCAAAGATGCTTTCAGTCTTTACCACATATCCATAGACTGTTTTGAATTCAAACTAAAACTTATGTGCTATTAAACATGTTATTTTCACAAAGAAAGCTTAACTGTGTATGTGTCTTCTGAATAACCAAGTGCCTTACTTTTAGTCCCATTTACAGTAGCTTAAATCATGTTATCTACAGCCAGAAAGCTGTTCCATTTACACAACTTATCTTAATTTTAACTCACTAAGTGAACATTGGAGAATTGGATAAAATATGTAAATGGTACCATTTAAATCCCTAAAGTAATGCGAACACAAACATAATAGCTGAGGTATTTAAAAGTGACATTTACTTACAGAGAAATCCAATAACCATTTTGTTAGTTTTCTTGAAGTGGTAATCTACAGAACACTCTTAAGACATCTGACAATAATTCCCTTGGAAAACACATTGTTTTCTTTTTTTTATGTTATAAAGTTTTAATTCTGATAACTTTAGAAAACCACTAAGAGGAGCATTTGCAACTAGTTAAGGATCAC